TCCGCCGATGATGATACCTTTATGGCCACATGCGCCCTTGGTTGATGTGACACATGCGTATTCCCTGGCCAAGCCTATCGTCTATCCGTGACACCATGATAACCTCCAGCACGGGGTAAGCGCCTAGCATTTTTGAGAAGATACTATATATAGCTTTATAGCTATTCAAGAAGTCACGTTGACATTTTGCCAGCCCAGCTAGAGGGCCACCAAATGCAGTCACCACAGGATACTCATGCTGCTTCAGTACCTCTCGCAGGTCTGCTTTGTATCCCACCATCGCTTCGGCGGCCTGGGTCCTCAGCGTTTAGGGAAGGTAGGGAACGGTTGCCAGAGTTGGCAGGTGGTTTGATAGGTTGGGTGTGGTTTTGATACCTGACATGTGGAGAAAGCAAGGGTTCTTTCAAACAAAATTAATCAATGTCACTTTCTGATTCTCTTGTCATTTTTTGACCCTGGCTATCCTTTTCTCATTGCTGGGTCCTCCTGGGCATGCTGGCTGTAGTTTGTTCATTTCTATTGACCTGGTTTCAGGTCGTCTACTCAATGTTTGTGCCGTAGAGGATCCCTGAATGGGCTGCTGGTATTTGCTGGTTGTTTATAACTTCCGTATAAGGCAAGGCCGGTTCAGGGTTCGTCTGTGCACGTCAAAAGTGGGTCGTTTGTGCACGTCAGACGGTTGGTCGTCTGTGCACGTTTTTGTTGTGTGTTTTTGTCATTGTATCTCTGTAACATGATTCTTCTTCTAGCTTTTTTTTTAAACATCTCAAGAGCTGCTTTCGTGTGCCATTTGGTGGAGCTGCTTTCGTGTTCTCTCACTGAAGTTCACCCATGTTCTTTCACACAACTCATCTCACAACTCACACAACTCATCTCACACAACTCCACTCATCTCACAACTCACAGAACTCATCTCACATCACTCCGCTCATCTTACAACTCACACAACTCCTCTCATCTCACAAGTCACACAGCTCATCTCACACAACTCATCTTACACAACTTAACTCACTCAAGAGCTGCTTTCGTGTGCCATTTGGTGGAGCTGCTTTCGTGTTCTCTCACTGAAGTTCACCCATGTTCTTTCACACAACTCATCTCACAACTCACACAACTCATCTCACACAACTCCACTCATCTCACAACTCACAGAACTCGTCTCACACCACTCCACTCATCTCACAACTCACACAACTCGTCTCATCTCACAAGTCACACAACTCATCTCACACAAGTCATCTCTCAACAACTCATCTTACACAGCCACCCCCCCACCCCACGGGTAACTGATCATGAAAGAGCAGTGCGAGGAAATGCTCTACAGCAAGAAAGATGATGAGGTTGCTGTGCGTGTGCAGGCATAGGAACATGAACCTTATTAACTCACCCCACCCCACCGGTAACTGATCATAAAAGAGCTGTGCCTGTCTCTTCCCAACAGCAAGAAAGATGATGAGGTTGCTGTGCCTGTGTGTGCATAGGAACATGAACGTTATCATCCCACCCCACCCCACCCCACCCCACCCCCCGCATGAACCAAACCCGAAATGGCTGGTTCCCAGCCTCAATGTGCGCGGATGACCGCTCTTTGTGCGCGGATGACGCGGTTTCTCTGTGCGCAGATGACTTGTTTGCAATGTGCGCAGATGACTCGCTTTCAATGTGCGCAGATGACGCGTTGACCATCCTGTTAGCTGGAGGGGCCTTCTGGTTTCATTTGAGGATGGCTGATGGCTGATGCTGGCAACCTTACAAAATATACTGCACGCAGTTTATTTCCATGGAGACCCCTAGGCCCTAACCACCACAGCATATCAGAGCAGCCAGATATAGGCTGCATTGATGGGTAGGGTGCTGCTTGACCACGGATACATCCATTCCACTTTGCCGGGGGGTTTGGTCAAACCCATCCTGTAAACAAATATCAAATGGCAAATGGTGCCAATGAGCCAATGTAATACAGCCATTGGAAGGAACCCATTTGAAGTCGATCCGGTAAGTTCCGGATATCCAGGACATAGACTGTTTTGATATATATATATAGTTCAAATTCAGGTATTTTGGCAGCAGATTTGAGGGTGATCATGATGATCCACAATGGATATGGGATATTTGTTCAAGATCTGGGTACATTCTTTGCTACCAAAGCATCCTTTCCGCCAATGGTGCGCTGCACCTCAGGTGCCATCCGCCCCTGGAGAGCATCCCATCCTGGTCCGGGCACATGGTTCCTGCGTCGGTTTCCGCCATATTTGTTGAGGGTTGATCCCTAAGCATGTGGGAAGAAGATGATCCAAGTTGATTCAACAAACATCACCAGTGGAACCATGGAACAAGTCCTCCTGCATTTGACTACACAATGCATGATGATGATAGCTTTCGCTTGTGCGTATTTTGCCATTCTCTCCAAAGTCCTCGTGCGCTGAAAGCGATGCAATAGTGTAGTATAACAATTAATATCTGTGACTGATGGGTAAGGTAGACACATGGGATCCATTGTATTTTTGGACTTGGCAGGCTAGTGGCATTTTGTTGCTGTCTTGAAACGCCTCTGCAATTGCCTTGGTTAGGTAGTAGTGAGGCTGCGGCTGAATTGATGCTTTTCAGAGCTGTCATGGCTGCGGCAATTTGCGATAGTTCTCATAGTAGCTGAAGGTAATTCAGTTCAAGAATCTGAAGCAAGTTATTTTGTTACAACGGTCCCAGGTCCAGGATGGTTACTGTAAATGCTGAGGTAGTTATGCCCTTAACATTGTATGGTCGACATGGTTGGACAATCCCTTGAGAATTCACATATTGTGCAGAACATATGCTGAGGGTGCAACCATGGCGTGCACTTGTTTTCGGCGACAATGCTTGGTTGTCCTTGGCTTACAGATACTCCTCTACACGCTTGTTGCAAGGTAAGCCCGTGGAAAAGTCCTGGCAAATCAGTTCACATGGAAGGTGCCGCAATACATTTGGAATCGTCTCAGCTGGGAATTTGAGCCCTTCCGGGTACAAGAGAGTCTTCATTTCTGGCCACCACTTCTATGTTCACCGCCTCGTAGCGTTTGCTTTCTTGGGGCGTGCTCCTGATCCACTGGCGTGGCAAGTCCACCACAGGGATGGCAACCCATGTAATAACCTAGTAGAGAACTTGGAGTACGTAACTCCCAGGCAGAACATCCTCCAGTCATATGAAAAGCCTTCAAGGGGCAATAGTGGCCCCAGCTTGTCACAGCCAGTGATGTGGCGCCCCGTGGGGTCTCTGGAGTGGAGAACCTGCTCCTCTATCACCGCTGCAGCTTTGGAGACGGGACTTTCTCGGACGTCGGTGCGGAGGAGCTGTCTCGGAAGAATATCGATCAAAGGCCTGGAGTTTTGCCAGGTGAATCTTGGCCAAGATGAGCATCTCCCTGGCGAAGTCTGGAGGCCAATGCATGACCCCAAGTCGGGACATGAAATCCCTAGAAGGATGGTCAGTTCCCTGGGTAGGCTGCATTTTCCGAGCGGCAGGAGATCGGTGGGATACAAGAGCAAGGCGGGTTATCTTACTACATGGTGTGGTGGGCGAATTGAATCTGTTCACCGTCTTGTCGCCTTCGCATTTCTTGGGCCACCTCCCACTTTGCAGCGCAACCACATCAATCATAAAGATCATGACAAAGGGAACAACGCCGTGGAAAACTTAGAGTACACAACTCCCTCTGAAAATGCGCTGCATGGGTTGACAAAGGCAGCCAGTAGACAGGCCGGTTCGAATGTAAAACCCGTGGCGAGCAGGCTGAACGGTAGCCAAGATGAGTGGACACAGCACCGTTCCATTTCAAGTGCTGCACGAGCTTGTGGGTTGAAGCCAGGCAGCGTAACCAGATGGGCCCACCGCGGCGGAAGCCACAAGGGCAAGTTCGAGTTCCGCTTTGCGGAGGACCCGTCAGCACCAACTCGTCCAGGAGAGGAATGGCGGAACGTGGATATCGCAGCCCACCTTGATGAAAGGCTACACCGCAAGCTTTCGACATGCTCAGTGTCTATAAAGACAGCTGCTGGACTCCTGGACTAAATCAGCAGGATGCTTACGTTTGTTGGTCTGCAGGGCCGGTACCATGGCCGTAGGTTTTCTGCCACCTGCCCCATTTTGTTTTTTAAAGGGACATTTTGAATGAGGTGTTCCAACCCTGATTATTAATTCGTGCAGTCCGTTCACAGGTTAATTGATTTCCGTGGCATGGCCCACGTGCTCCCAACCACCTTGTTTGTGAGGGTGCCCAAAGGCCCGCCCCCTACGGACAGAAGGTGGCTTGCATCTAGAGAAATGGATTGTGACACTTGGTCCTAGATTTTGCCGGGCGGTGGTGAATGCATTATGCCATCTTAACCTCACCAGATAGTCACAAGACATTGGGAGATATCAGAAGATTCTGGAGTAAGGAAAGCTGGGTGCGGTTGATGTATGCTGATGCTGCCAGGTTTGTGCGGTACTGGCTGCCAGTTTCCCCTTGACATGATTTTATGTCTTTGATTTGCATTCCTTGGTTTTCTGTCACATGGGGTGTCATAATGGAGTGGGTTGCATGCAAGCAGTCAACTTTTGCCCTATTTTGCCCTTTCGCTGTCTTCCTCAAAAAGTAGAGTCAACTGTCACTCCTTTGGATTGATTTATTTACTTCTCAGTTCGATTCTTGTCAAAGCTCAAAAGCCCAAGATGGTTGCATATAGTAGCAAGACTGACACACACATCACAAAGCATAGCATGTGAGAAGTCTTGCTGAATGGGCTCACATGACACCACTGGTTGGTGAGAAGGGCAACCAGGACATCGAGTGTAGCAGCAGCATTATTAGCACGCATGTTTTATAACCAAAGCTTCTTGAGGACGATCTCATTAGTTCCAAACTTCACCCATCCTTCTATGGCTCCATGGCCCCCGTAAACTTCAACATCAAAAACACCCGCTGCTTCCATCCAAATTTGTATGACAAAATCTTTAGACATGTTCAATACCGACCACCCCAGAAGGGAGACCCCCCACACCATGGGCCGCAAGCGCGGCCGCAACGACGACCCCGCACCATCCTCCACAGCGCCACCTGTGGCCCTGGCGGCCGGCCGCGGCGCCCCCGTCGAAGCGCCCGACGTGGTGCTGCCGGAGGTCTGGTGCTACGGAGTCGATGCGCTGAGCAGCGGATGCTGCGGGAGATTGGCGGCGTGCTCCAAGGGTCACCTGGTGGCATTGCTAACATGACATATAGTGACTGTTCGGTGGAGGCCTTAAGGATAATTAATCAATATATATATATATGTTTGATTAATGGGATGATGATCCTTGTATTATTTGCTGACGACAAGTGTTGGGGTGGTTTGAAATGAACCAGTCTGACAAGATTGTCGGCCGCTATACTGGTTGGATTTGAAGGATTTGCAGTCTGATCAGAATCCAACGCAACCAAGATAATAGTGTATAATGGGGTACCATCCCTGATGGGCCGGGCATTTTTTAGGCTTAAGGCATTGCATGTTTCAAGCCTGAGCCACTCCATTGTTGAAGATTCTAGGTGTTTTTTGGGGACCATGAGATGTCCTGATCTTGGGATGGAACCTCATTTTTGCAACAGCAAACACCCCCGTTGACACAATTTAGATCTGGAAAATTTGGCGTTTGTAGTCATTTCCCCTTCGGAAGCCAAAGAAATTCCATAGTGTTTTGTAAATATACCAGCCGGGTAAAAATTGGTTTGTTCAAAATAGGGTGCCCATGGGTGCCCCTAGATCCAGTGGTTAGTCATGTCTTTTTTCCAATCAACATGTCCATGCACATCGGGATTCTTGTGCATTTTCCTTGATGTTTTACACATTTCTATATGTACTTGGTGTGTCCAAGGCATATGGAAATTTCCCCGAGCCGGAGTTCCATATTGTCGCTGCTTGAATGGATTAAATCCATGTATGATAGATAAACCCTTATTTTTGTTGCCTAAGCATGCTTAAACCAACCCTTAATACCCAAGCATTATCAATCATACCTCCACTACATCCCATTTCCATTATATATATCTCATTTTTGTTGGTTAAACTCTAAGTGGTGGCCGAGGCTTCTACCTGGCCGTGCGCAAGGCCGTGGCGGAACGCATCACCCTGGGCCTGGCGGAGGGCTGCGTGCAGGCGGATCTGGCTTCGACGCGGCTGCAGAATCCGATGCTCGGTGGAGAGCTGGGTTGGGTGATACAATGTGGTGCCCCCAAGATAGCTAAGTTGGTTCAGAACTCTAATAACTAGGATTTATGGTAGATATATCTATAGTTAATGGGATTATAAACCAACTTACAACTGGGGGGGGCACCACCTTGTAGGTTGCCACTTCGAGGACCACACCGTTATACCCAAAACATGGGGATATTTACCAACAAGATATGAAGGAATATAATGGTATGTAGTGGGATGTAAAACTTGGCAACTGCCAACTGCTTAGCCAACATAGTTACATATATATACCCTTGGCTTCCAAGGACGATGTTAAACTTTAACATTCTGACGTTGTTCAAGTAAACATAATCTTTCCGTAAACAACGATGTTCAGCCCTAATCAACCCTTGCAACAAACTCTTTTTCATCAGCCAAATTTGCGTCCACCGTGGTTCAGCAGCTTCGGGATTCTCCATTTTAGAGTTTTCAGCCGCATTCTGGCTACCCGGGCAACTGGAAATTCACGTCCCTTCTTGTTCTTTGATCGCCTCGCCCAACCTCAAAGCGAAGCGGGGCCCAGGTAAGTTCTATTCTAAGATGTTCTAAGTTTTAAGGTAAATTCTAAGTTTTAGATATTCTAAGGGCTGCACACTTCAGTTGGCCCATTGCGTCCTCGTCACAAAAAGTATGATGCATTCGAGGATTCTCGCCTGAGCTTAGGCTACAGAAAAGGCTTTTTCAGCACACTAAAATTTGAGAATTTTTCTTCAGAGCCACAAGTGATATAATATGTCTGCAATCATGGCACGGGTCTTTAGCACCCCATCGCGTAGCACATGAACCATAGCCTTAGTTTGAATCTTGAAATGGGACCAGAAAATGTATGGTTCGATAATATTGATTAAAGTTGGTTAACATCAGAGACTTGCGTGGTAACTGACCTTTATAAATCACCCAAAAGATACTATCCGGTAAACAAACGTAGCTGCGGTTTTTCAAATTTTACACAGCTAACCTAGCTACCAGAATAGGCTGCCAGACTAGCATGTTCCCCACAGACCCTCAGCTATTGGACAGCATCAACAATAAGCAAGTAAGAAAAAAATGAACAGGAGCCCACTAACATAGTTATCATTTTACAGCACTCAAGGTTTCCCAACATGGAAGGAAGCCCACTAACATAGCTATCACTTTACAGCAAAACAGGAAATACTAATATATAGCTATCCATTTTTTCCTGGGATATTACAAGTTTACAACAAAGCGAACCTGGAAAATACGTATGTTTTATATAAGTTTTTTTAAGGGATGTAGTTTACCAGGGTGTAAGATGGTGTCCCTTGATTTTTTGCTAAAAGGAAATCCAGTGACCCTTATTTCATTCCCCGTCAACTTGTAACTACAGTAACAGCAATGGGTACTATTCCAAATTTGTGAAATAAAGGGCTGCATTGGATTCTCAATATCCACCAAAGTACGTGCCACTTTGGCACCATCAACCATGCCAGTTCCCCTCGCCTGTCCAGGGAAATGTTTTTTGGATCAAGCCCTTTTGAAGGGCCGGATTGAAAGTCAACAAAAAAAAACAGGCCTCACACTCATGCGGTTGAGGACCAAAAAGGATTTCAAGTAGGCTCTGCCGGCAGCTTCCAGATTTTGAGCTTGATTCCGCGTCCTTAAGGTTCCCAACATCTGCTGCCCAGGATAGGGTATCCACAAGTTTATCATACAAAATTAATCCAAATTAATACTCAGAACCCATATCATAAACAAACCCAAACTCCAGCTTATGGGTGGCCCCTTCTATCCCCTTGTATCCCCTTTTATCATGGTATTACCCCAAATACTATCCAGTTCGATGGTTTGCTATGCCCTATGCAGAGCTGCGGCAAGCTTCAGCCATCTCGAGGCACGCTCACTCAAAGAGAAATATCGGCAGATCCCTCTCCTGGAACGAGCGGGAGATGTGCAGTAATATAATCTTGGGGATTTTGTAACTAACATAGGTCAATACCCCAATGCCTACTTGAAATAAGAACCAAACGTATACCATTTGAAATCCAAGTTTCAAACATTGTTCAGTGACATCTAAGCGGTCATCAGTGTTCAGGATAACATCTGGCTGAGTTTTCACCCAGAGAACCACATCCAAAAGCCATTGACATATGAGGCGAGCATTAAACCCCTTTGCGTTGAGGTAGCACCCATACTCATCTTTGAAAATCGACTTATAAGAAAATGGGCGGTGACTACACTGAATTTTGCGCTGTCTCCGCCATGCTGTGAAGTTCGCAAAAGCCTCTTTGATTGGTTCCTTCATCCCTTGTGGTCCAGGGGCGGTTTGCCCAAACACTCCCATGTGCAATAACATTGCCCTGGGTTGGCCACATGGGAATCCATAATTTGTGTTGGGTTTTAGCCATTAACGTTAAAATCCCCAAACATAAATTCCAGAATCTCCAGAAGAAACATAAAACTCACCTGCGGGTTGAACCAACCAAGTCACAACGTCGATCCATTCGAGATGCCAAGGAGACCAAGGTTTAGCACATGAAGGGTGCACGGTTTGATGGTTTGCACGGAGAAAAAGTGTAGGTCCACCAAGGGGCCTTCAAAAAGCAATCTTTGAAGAGATTTGCGCACAAACAAGTAAATCTTGCTTAGTTGTAGGACCTAGGATATAATCCCAACAAGTAATGAAAAAAACATGTGCTAGGATGAACCAGTGTCCCTTCCAAAATTGAATTCAGGTTTTTTTCTAACCCAACAGCATTGCTAAGCATTACCTAAGGATCACAGCAGTCCATCTCGGGGCAATTCTTCGAGGATAAACTCTTCAGTCGTTCTTGGGCCTAAATCGATGTCGTAGTTTGTGTAACAATTGTGTCCAGCATCTATAGAAGCTTTGCATTTGAAGCAAACTTCCCGAGCGAGCCACCAAGAACGGTGGTGAAAAATGTAGCGAAACCATGCTTGGTCCCCTCGCAACTCACTTACCAAAAACCTCCTGCCAGCAACTCCTGTTTCGCAAGCAAAATTCAGACTGTTCTTGATTTCTTCCAGTAATGGGTACATTGTGTCTTCCAAGCTGCACACCCTAGAGGAATCAATTGAACAAAGAAGAAACCTCGACAGCCTCGTAGTGGTAGGTCTGAACAGTACAATGTTGAGAAACACCCCATAAATTTTGTCATATGGAGCGCTGATGATGGCCATCGAAGCTTCATCGCCATGAATTCCAAGTGGCAAAACTGGCTTGTCAACAAGCATTCTGAAGTCCCTGGTTTTGACAGCAAGCTCATGCTGAGATTTTTCTAGGCCTTGCCAATATTTACGAACAAGGTCATCATCGATGTGGAAGCCACATTCCGAAATCAAATACTCCAAAATTTTGTGCGGCAACAAAACTGGTAGTTGCGCTTCTTGTTCAGAGTCATCGGGATTCTTGACTTTCACAGGAACTAGCAAAGGCTCCTTTTGCAAGATTTGAAAACCACCAGGAAGACAGAATACACCAAAATACCCAAGCCTAGATATCGAGTTTGAGGGAAAGGGTAAAGAACCAAATCTGTTCATTAGTTTCATCCATGCTTCCACGGGAAGCGGGCTGTTGCGGTAGAAGTCTCTAGAAGCATTCTTGTTGCTGTTTGCATAGCACGCAAGCTTGGCAGTCCACTTGGTGGTGCACCCGCGCGCTTCCTTAAATACATTGGATCCAAATGATGGTTTCTAAGATGTGTAACCTCAAAAACATCCTAAAGACCAGAATTGCAGATAAGTATCATCAAAAGACGCCCGTGCTGAACCCATGGCAGATTGAGCACTGGTTACCTCAAGGTACGTCGTTTCCACGAATCAATATTATATATAAGTTAATCGGGTCAATTCCTATTGATAACAAGCCTTCTTTTTTGCCAAGGGACTCCAGCAGCTATTCTCTCAGAGAGATTCCTCTCCAAAGGGCCGGGCCCTTCATCACCTGCGAAGGGGATAAAGGTCGCGTAGGGCTTTGACTAAATTTCAGCACGCTCATTAAAGCATATCATTCTTTATAAAACTGTTTTTGAAAGCACGCATTTTTTCAGCAAGATTCTGACACTCTGACACGTCTAACATCGTCCAGCATTGTTTGCCCCTTTTCAGGATTGATGGGTTGATCAAGCATACTTGGGCGGATGAAATACAAATCTGGGGGACCTTGGAAATTTATTGGCTAAGACATATTTTTACCTAGCAATGAAACTAATATAAACTTAGGTAAGTCATTGCCCAAAGCTGCCCAAAGCATACTCTGACAGGACCTATGCGCACATGTAAAACCACCTGGAGCCAGGCCCCCAATTTTTATGGGTCCTCGGCCACCCCCCGTAGGTGAGATACACCCACATGCACGCCGTGCTGTATCACCCACAAGCGCAGGCTGCGCTCAAGCCGTGGCCAAGGAATTGCTGTGAACCAAACAAGGTTGGAAACAATTTGTGTTTATGATATCGATAAAAAATGGTGTCATTTTCAGCCGCTCCCACCCACATCAAAAATTGAGCAATCACACTGAATCACATTTCAAATTTTACCGGGGTCATCCCTCTTTTGACTTCTTGGATTTCTTCATTTTCAACGGCTCACACGCAATCTCGAGTTCCTTGCGTGCGTCCTCCACATCCTTGATCAGCTCACGGGTGACCTGCCGGGGCCAATCAGTACGATAGTTTTGAAGTTGTGTACTGGCCAAAAACGATTCTTTGTTTTTTCTGAATCACGTTCAATCTTGAAATATGTTTGGACTCCAGATCCTAAAACATCTTTGGACCCCACCTGAGTCTTGTCCAAAGCCGTTTGCAAAGCTCCACGCGTGGTCTGGCATGGGTTTTCCAGGAATGATCAACGGGGATCATCAAAATAATAGTTCAACCCTAAGACTGTCGAACTGCATATGTTGAAAAAATTGCTCCCTTGAACAAATATCAGAAGAAAATTGTTTCATTGTTTTTTCTCCCACTATTTCTCCCCATAATTTTGAGCCTCCAGGGTAGACTGTTTGGTCTCCACGTCAGCGCGCACAGACCCCGCAAAGTTCGAGCTCCTCAAAGGGTACGGGCAAAACTTGTCCATCAGTTTTTTTTTGGCCGATTTGTTTGATCGTTTCATACATGGTTTTCTCTAAGTACCTGGCATTTTGTCGAGGTTTGGCATGAGGCTCAAAGCTGCTTTGATCTTGGCACTGGCATCCCCAATGGCCTCAGAAACGGTGTGTAAGTCAATCTTGGAAGTATGAGGGAACATGTTCAGTAGGAAAAGTATATTGTAGCCTTCTTGGCATCCTTTTGCAATTTCTTTTCCTCGGTCTTTGCGTCATTTGGTTCTTTCGATTCTTCCTTCTTTTCCTTTGGCTTCTTGTCTTTCTTCTTCTTGTTTTTTTCCCTTTTCTTTTCCGTTTTCTGAGCCTGCTAGTACATCATGGACATGGCTACAGTTTATATATTGATTAACTGAAATGGGATACAGTGAAAAATGCCAAAGTACTTTTGAAAACCTAAAACCACTAGCTTGCTGATGCCTTGGGTGGGGTGCTTTGCTTTTGAGACTTCTTCTTCTTCGACTTACGCTTGCTTTCGGAGTTGGAACTGCTACTATCGTCGCTGTCATCAATACATTGGAAAAGTCGCTCCAATTCTTCCTCATGTGATTCATCTTCTGCGTCATCAACCAAAGTCAAAAATTGTTTCGAGTCCTGGATTGCTAAGAGAGGAGTCAAGCAAGCTGGAACATGAACACAAGTTGTTTTGATGAAAATTGGAATTAACAATACTAGGCTAGACTACTAGAGAGTCCTCCGTCTTGTCCAACTCTGGGTGGTATCTGATCTCTCGCTGTGAGAGTTCAGCATTTTCCTCTTTGCGAACCCTCATTTGCTCGCCTATTTGTGCCCCAAAACGCTGGTCCATCTCCCATGCGAACAGCCACTTTCTGGTTCCTTTGCACCTCTTGATGTGCCTCTCCCGTATGTTCATAAGGAATTTGCTCTTGTTCCAGTCACCCGAGCAACTTTCCCAAGCATCGCAGAGTATGCTGTTCAACGACTGGCCTGAGGTTTGCTTAGCATTTGATGTCTTCATGCAAGTGCACCAAAACTTTTGCACCGGGTACGGAAAGTCTTTGTTTGGAAAACATACCAAGACAAGGCACTGCCATGGGCCTCTTGTGCCATCTTTCGTATTTCAAGTGGCGTTGACGGGTCTCAGCAGTAAAGAGTTGTGGCTGATATATTATGAAAAGTGTGCACACGACAAGTTGTTCTCTTGAAAAACTGGGGTTCCCACTCCGAACAGCACGGAAATATTTTATATACCTTGCGTGTGCTTTCTTCTTCAATTCTTCACGTTCAAGTCTTTTGGCCTCCAGCTCTGCTTGGGCCTGCTGGGATTCCTCTGGAATCGGAACTTCGGGCGGTGGGGGCTGAGGTGTGCTGGGCTTCGCATCTTTCTTCTGTTCTTTACTGGTATCTTCCTTTGGCTGTCCATTCTTTGCTTCTTGACTTTCCTTCGCTTCTTGACTTTCCTTTGCTTCTTTCTTCACTTCAACCAGTTCTTCTTTCTTTGGATCGTTTTCGTCGTTTGGTTTGTTTGGAGCCAAGTCCTTTGAGTCCTGGTTGCAATCATTCCCACGCAAGTCCTTGGTGCTGTTGCCCGCCTGAGTCTCATTGGCAGCCTCTTGGAACCTTGCATCCAAACTCAACATCTCACCTGTATTCATGCGACCAAAATGGGGTTCATACTCCAAAGTCTCTCGGCTTTGTGTATCCACAAGGGTCGACTGAGAGTCTGGGGATGTCAACCGGGTTCCTGTGGAAGGTGTTGACGGCGGTGATCCCTCCTTTCCATCAGACGGTGGGGGTGCCTCATTTCCATCATGGTTGTCCCAGTTATAGTACCGGTAGTGATGGTAAGGGTTGTTGACGTCATAGTATGCTGCATGCCACTTTTGGGGTCTCCAACCTTGCGGGGGCCAATCCCACTTACTCCAGTTGTCTTCTGCTTCCTCCCTCCATTGGGACCATCCACCATTATAGTGATCCCCTTGAACTTTGCTAGGTTCATGGCCATCTTCTTTCGTCAGATCAACCTGTACTTCAGGCGGGGTGGGTTTCCCAGCCAACTGGTCATCAATCTTTGCCTTCTTCACCTTCTTTAGAATCTTTTTCACTACCTTCTTTTGATGTCCTGTATTGGAAACTAAATTGGTTGAAATTGGTTGGATATAGGAATCGACTTGAAAAAACTGATGGGATCAATGTGCGGGTCCTGCTTTCGAGCTTGGGGTATTCACAACGCTTTCAGCAGCAGGTGCTTTCTCTTGGGTGTCGCCAGTTTCCCTGGCAACAAGGTATAGGAGATCTTACTTTTATACAACAAAATCCCAAACATGTGTGAAACACCAGCGGAGAAATCAACAATCTTGCCAGGAATACTTCTCAGCAGGAGTTGTTCCCAAAAGCGTGTCATCAGGTTGCGGTTTGTCATTCCCAACCCGCTTCTCTAGGGCATGAGCTTTGTCCAAAAACCCTTGAAGCTCACTATCCTCCATGTTTTTCATCATAAGGACAGAGAGCCTTGGCCAAAATGCCTGCAAAGTAGAAAAGCAAAATAAGTTTACACTAGATCGCATTAGGTCTATCATGTGCTCAGGTTGCTCCCAGTGCAATGTGACGCCCAGGACGATCGTAATTTGACCCCCCAGTAAACAAACACAGCATTTTGGTTTTGCGCCGAGCAGTTTCCAGCTCCAACGCACATTGTACGTCAGCTCAATTAAGCATTGAGATCGCAAAGCTTAATTTTTGCAATTTTGATGGTGTCAACCCTTCCCAAAAGTTGTTGAAATTAGGGGGGTCCAGTTTCACGCCAATTCACGGGTAAACATCTACTTTCATGGGTAAACATCTACCTTCACGCGAGTTTCACGGGTACTTCACGCGCCCGGTTTTTTCCAAAAAATGTTGACCCATCAAAATTCAGCTTTGGTAATCATTAAGTTACCATCCAGTAGTGATGTTGGTATATTCCAACATGTCATGGCAAGGTAAATTAGGAATGTCCCAATTTTGAGACACTGAGGGGGTTAGATATTTACCTTTTCCCCTTGGTCTGCCACTTGAGAACGAACTTCTTCAGTGATGGCAGGTCTGCCTTTTGCCAAGCGCCCTGCCTTTTCACCTGAGCGATGGCCAAAAGAGGCCGGAATGGAAGTGAGGGAAAATGATTCAGTGTTGGCACAGTCCGTTGGATTGAAAAAACAGCTATTAGTCTTTAAGCCAGTGGCGGGCTTGACACCCTTTTGTTTCATCTTGGAGCAGGCTTGCAAGTAGTTTCTTTTGGTGTCCTGGATATCAGGGTCCAAAAATCACACTATTGATTGTCGAATGGAAAATGGAAAGCATCATAAATAAAGACAGTCCCGCAAGTCATCTTGCAGGGCTTGGATGCGGACACCATAACCACGGGGATAGACTTGAGTTCGTTTCAAATCTTTGCCCCCTGACCTGAAAAGCATCAACCCATAGTTTTGCCGATGTCATGTGAACCGGACGGCTTTCTATAGACTCACTGAATAATTAGAGGTAAAATAAGATGAGGACACTGAGACTTGTCCATCCGCATTCCGTTTCTTTTTCGTAATTTCCAGCTGCAAATTCAATAGCTTGAGGCGGTGCAGTTGGCTAAGCTTCACATACAATTTGGGCAACCAAAACCTTGGCTTCCAACTGTTTTGGTAAGGTCCATGTTGTTGAAATTTGGCACAAAAAATACAATGTAAAGCTCCCATCAACCTTGATCTAAGCCAGCAACGGAGTTCCCCAGACCCGGCTTGGCTTAGCCGAAGGTGCACCCCAAGATGCCATCCAACTCAGAGAGGTGCCCGTGGCAGGAATGTTGGGTAGGAAAGGGTGTGTTGAAAATGCAAATGCAATAGACTAGAATAGCTGAAATCTCAGTATCGAACAAGAATTGCTCGTTCCAGAGTCCCAAGTGTTTTTGGATCAGTTTGGCTGTGGCCACAAAGTCCGGCATGAACTTCATGACTGAAGAAGCCGGCTGTTCCAATACTACATATGCACCTCTCGCTGTTGCGAGTATGAGAAGCAATAGGGCTCGAACACATATCCTGAAGATGGCCCAGGAAAGAAGGATTCATGATGACCTATCAGATTTCATCGGATTTCTGAGTCACAGTGATTTGAAATTGCACCTCCATTTACAGTTGCAAATGTAATTTTGAAAATTAGCTGACTCTGAATGGTTAAACAAAAAAATTGAACTCAGTGTCATCGACGCCCTTTCCACATACTCCCGGCTTTGGTCCCCGTATGGGTTTTCTCGTGAACGACAACTCGTTGCTCGGTTCATCCATATATAGCTCCCACACGGCGGACCCATAGATAGGATCCCATCCGGGGCCAACTTCAGCACATTGAGCACCGCCAGGCAGAAGCCATCCCTGAGTATCGAGGGGAACCCTGGGAAGAGAAGCTCTACAACGTTCGAACTGAACGCTAAGGCGCCCACGTAGTGCAAATGTCATGCCGGGGGTTTGTAGCCAGATCGAAGTAAACCCTCAGCTTAGCTAGTCAGGTAAAAATTTAACACCAACCTATACCCTTCTATCAACCGACATGTTGCCCATGGATGCCCATGGTGCCATTTGTAGGCTGCACGACTGTTGAGTATGTCTTTGGGGTCCTGGCGAGTTTTGATTCTTCCGGCCTGAGGCCGGTGAGGAAATTTGGAGCCGATTTAATTTTGTAATATGTTTAAGAGTATTCACAAAAAATATCACAACATATATCCATCCACTACTATGTTTCAAACTCCATCGAGTTAAGATCAGGTCCCTGACTGAAGGCTTGCGATATAGATCGCTGTCCAGAAAAGCAATCGAAGCACACCACGTCCTAGGTTGATCATTAACAGGGGTGCACTATTCTAAACGAATATTATTAAGAATTTCTTTGTTGAGTTCCCAGCACGGTTGTGTGTTTTGTAACTTGTCGCAGCGACGTAGTCGGCAACATCCAACCTGGTTTTCTAGCGATCTTACATAGTTCGATATTTCCCGGAACTATTGACATAATTAATTACTTGGTAAAGTCGAATTTGGAAAGGTCATCTGAGGATGCTACAGTGTTGGTGGTGCACCAAGTAGTAAGCACATGCTGGCCACACATGCCGACAAGGCCAACGGGGATTTCCGCCATTCAGGCGCCATGGCTTTGAAGATGGTGGGAGACCTCTGAGGCCAGGAGTATTGGGATGATCTGATGGTAGGGTGCTTGGCTTTCAGCTAGCTTGATCATATCAGAGGCAAGACCAGCAGTATAGTTTTGCGAATATGGCATCTCACTTGAATTTACACACACACACACTACTGTACTTGAAATCGTGAATCCTTTGATATCCTCGACTTTTTTTGACACTGCCATCAGCTTGATTTGCCTTGAGAGGGGTAATCACAGAGCCACTCACCACTTTCACATGTTGAAGGAAATTAGTGGTACCATGGCCGTATATCGCAAACTCATGTAACACATATTTCAAAATTGTGGTCCTGCGACTGCCAAGGTCAGGTAAGGGGAACACAGCCATCACTGGTCATTCACCCCACGGAAAGTATATCGTTTCAAAACTCGATCCAACCACTCAGGCATCGAACCAACTTCCACCTCAGACAAACGATGTGGATTTGCAAATAAACAATTGAATTGGGATGGAGTAGTTTCTGCGATTTTCTGTGGAATTTAAAAACCGAGACCCAAACGCTTCTTCAACCCCTCCGTGGGTTGCCCAAGACACTGTGACTCCCATCTTCGCATTTACCTGTGCATGTTGGAAGGCCAACTTCTATTTTGAAGTGATAATCATGCCCCAGGACTGACACCGGGCCTGGAGGTTTTTTCCCATAGTCTCGTTGACGCGCTTCACGATGTCTGGATCAGGGTTCACTGCGTAGAACTGAGCAGAGAGCCTCAAGGCAAATTTCCCAACAATACATAATCGTAAGTATTCTTCCTATATTCCTGGGATCCTGACAAAGTACTGATTGGTGAGGTATCAAGTGCTGCGTTTTCATGGTGACTGGTCCAAGACCTTGACGCTAGACGGCACAAACCATCTTGCCGACTAGGATTGAACATGTTATTGATTGTTGAACCCATTTCCCCGAAGATTTATATTTGAGATTAGGATTAATGGATCTGTATTATTTTTTTTGGGGGACCCTTATTAGTGGTGTGATTTTGCATAAGGGTAGGGGTGAGTGAATGATACTTGCGAGTAAAACACATATATCAGATAAGTAGCTTTACAGTCTTCAGTTTCTCTTCATCAGGGAGGACGTACATGTTGCCAGAAATTTTGGCAAGCTCCCGCACCAATCCCAAATTTTTCTGTCGCACTTCCTTGCAACGGTGTTGCAAGGGGCCGATGTGATGAGGAACCCAACCAACACCCAACTCCGTCCTCGGGCAATGCATAGCTTTTTTTCGCCTTGCTGGGAACGGGCCGTTGGGGGTAATTGAACTTGGTTTTGCTACCAAGCTTGTTATGAGTAATATATAAGTTGTCAAAAAGATTGGTTTCAAAGCTACAGTTTCTCAAAGCATTTGGATTTCAAATGTTCCCACATCAGAAAGCATCCCTAAGGCCCTAAGATGCATAATCCATAGATCGAGATAGATCTGTAAATGATGATAATACAGCCCAGCCCAGATCCTGCTCCGGCTTTTCTCTTGGCTTGTTTGGTTTCTCCTCACCATTGTCTTCTTGGTCTTTCTTGTCGGTGTTGTTGTCGCTGTTGTCATCGTTTGCTGTCTTGTCCTTTCGTGAGGTCGTTACCACCTTCCGTCTCTTCCTCCTGGTCTGCCTCCTGCCTGTGAGCAAGTCATCTGATCTTTGTTCATTATTTCCCTCATTCTCCTTCTTCTTCGCGTCATTCCCTTCTGACTCTTCGTCTTCTGTATTTCTCGACTCCTGCTTTTCATCTGTTTTGCCTTCAGTCTTCCTGGCCTTTGCCGCTGGCTCTTCTGACTCCTCACTTTTGGCCCTCTTTTGTGGCCCTTTGCCTCGCCGTCCTCGCCCTCGCCCTAGTCCTCGACCTCGTCCTCGACCTGGCTTTTCTGTTTTGTCAGTCTCCCTATCATGCCTCATCTCGTCGTCTTCTCCGTCCAGGGCTTGTGCCTGTCGCAAATCTTCATCGGTTGCTGCTCCTCGTCGTTTTCTTCCTACGGCCGCAGCTTTGGCTGCTGCTTTCTCTGCTGTTTTTTGCGCTTTCTGAGCTGCTTCATCTTTCCTTTTTGTGTTGAGCTGTTGTCGTAGAAGCCTTTGCTCTTCCAAAAGTTTTTGGATCATCTCATCTTTTTCATCTTTGGTCTGAGGGATCTCCTGGGCAAGGTCTGGCACTTGCTCAAACAAAGGCTTTGTGTCGTGAAAAGTGGGCTTCTGCCGAGCATCATCGGAATCGCTAAATGCCTGCACATCCTCCTCCTGAGCTTCTTGTCCTTTTTTCTCTTCTGGAGTTTCTTTCTTCTCGCCTGTAGACTTCTCCTTGGCTAGTTCTGCCTTTTTCTCATCGTCTCTTTCCTTTGATTCAAGCTTCTTCTTTTCTTTTTCCACCTCCTTCTCCTGTTCAGCTTTGCCTCTTGCTTCTTTCCTTTCGGAATTCTTTTCGGCTGCCTTTCTTGCTTCTTCTGCCATCTGATCTTGAACCTTTTTTGTCTTTGCTTTCTCATCATCTTCTTTCTTCTCCTCATTTTTTTTCCTGGCTTCTTCCTTCGCCTTATCCTCTTCAGCCTTCTGTCTGGCTTCTTCTGCGATTTTTTCCTTGGCTAGTTTCTCCTGTTCAGCCTTCTTTCTAGCATCTTCCGCCACCTTCAGTTCAGCTTTCTTTCTGGCTTCGTCTGCCAACGTTTCTTCAAGCTTCCTCTTGGCCTCTTCCACCGCAATCTCCTCATCGCTCTTCTTTCTGGCTTCTTCTGCAATCTGTTCCTCTTGTTCGTTCTTCTTTCTAGCCTCTTCTGCCACCTGCTCTTCTCTTGTCTGTCTGGCTTCATCTGCCATCTTTTCTTCAAGCTTCGTCTTGGCTTCTTCCACCGCAATCTCCTCATCGCGCTTCTTTCTGGCTTCTTCTGCAATCTGTTCCTCTTGCCTGTCCTTCTTTCTAGCCTCTTCTGTCACCTGCTCTTCACTTTTCTGTCTGGCTTCATCTGCCATCTTTTCTTCAAGCTTCCTCTTGGCTTCTTCTGTCGCCCGCTCCTCTTCAGCCTTCACTCTGCCTGCCATTGTCTCTTCTGACTCTGTTGCTTCTTTCACTGCATCATTCTTTCTCGCTTCTTCTGCCATCTTCTCATCTCCAGTGCTTTTCTCCTGTGCCTTTTGCTGCCAGTCTTCTGTCTTGCTGTCTGTGTGCTGTGTGGCATCTGTCTTCTCAATCTTTGTCTGGGTTGCCTCTGCCACTTCAACTTCGTAGTCATCAGTGAATTCTTCTTCCTCTTCCTCTTCTTCAACGATGTATTCATCATCTGAGTCTCCCTCCGCTTTCTGATCCTCTTTCTTGTCGTCTTTGGCTTCTTTATTTTTCTTTCCGTCCTTTTCAGGCATATGGCACACGGATTGGAAAATGATTTCGAATTGGAAACATTATGATTGAACTAGAAAGGTCATAATTTGCTTTTCCCAGCCCGTGCAAAAACAATATGGGTTCCTTGGACATTGCAGGTTTTCGGATTGACCTTGTCCTTCGCTCAATTCCTTTCTCCTACCGGTTTGGATGGATCTCCAAAACCATGGTGTGGTTTCAAAAGGAATTAGTTGAAACACCTGGGGTGACAGATACCCCAAAAAAACAAACCGATCCTTGTAGATCATACTGACCATCTTTTTGAGTTTGGCTAAGTTGGAATCTTTTCTCCTGGCACTTCGCCAAATCATGGCAACGTTGCTATGGTGGAATGAAAAAAATGGATGTAATATGTAAGTACGGCAACGACATTTAAATATGTGGTAGTATATTTACAATTTACCAGAGGCCCCGAAGGTAGTATGAAAACGGGATACATAATGTTCGTATATCGTATATTTAAAAGTCCGTATATTTAAACAAATGTAGTTACCGTATTGCCCCAAGCCTGGAGCTCGGGGTGCGACCATGCATCGCGCAGATCCTGCTGGCCAGGAGACGCTGCAAGTTGCCTTCATTTCCTGCCCACTCCTCATAAGGCTTGGCAGGGCGACTGGGGATGATCTGGGTGGTTAGGCTAGCAGCTAGCAGTCCTCAAGTTGAAGTTGGTCCAGGTTGGTGTTCACCAGCTTTCGATCCATTCCAACTTTCTGTAAGACAGCCTACCGATGGGAAAACCACATGATCAGCTTCCATTTCCAAATGCCACCCCATAGTAAAATGGGTTTCCAAGACAAAGTTGAAGAGGAGAGTGATTCAGTATGAAACAGTTTTGGCATTTCCACGATGTAATTGAGCCTGCCTTAACTTCTTGCGCAGTGGGCGGGTTGACCGCAAAATGCGGGAGCCACATCATCATGAAGTCGGTGTTGTGGTTGGTCTGAATCTGGCAAACTTTTGACTAACATTTATACAACAGATACCTGATAAAATTCATGCCAGGAAGACCATATCTTCATTCAGGCCCTTCTTCGGGTGCACATCTAGGAACGCAAAAGATAGCGGTACCTGGTCACCCAGACAATGTGTTTTTATCCAAACCCCTGTGGCAGAACAAAACCCAAATAGGACTGGAAAGGGGTACTTGACCATCATGCAGGCATCTTTTGATCTTGTACTCGGACATGCCTTCCCTTTTGCCGAGTTCAAAGAACCTGTTCTTTCTATACTCGTCTGTCAACAGTTCTTTGTAAAATTCCTGGCGGCAATATGGGCTGGAATCATGCACAAAAAATTGGGTAGCATATCTCATTTCCATCCAGCCCCGATGTGGCCTCCAAGAGCTGCATCCTTCGTGCATCAGGTTTTGTGGTCGGCATGATGCCAGTGCATCCGGCGGGAAAAATGCGCTGGTTGGAGAAAAGGGAGCCAAAGTGGCTTTACATGGACCCAATGGGCTCAGTGAAATCAATGATTAAATGCAGAAACTCTGAAGGTAAGTCCCTGGAAATGAAATTGAAATCAATCGATTGGATGGCAGGTACACAAGGGGGCGGCACCTTCATATTGATCGCTGCCCTGGAGGGCTTTCATGCCTCAGTAAATCGATATAACTTAGTAGGACGGGGTTACTCAACCATTCAAATTTTAAGGCTCTGGCGCTGGGTAAGTGCCTTCTTCATGGAGATCCATGGCACCAGGTTTGAGCCCCAAATGCCTATCAGTAATAAATAATATAGATTATATTATTATTATTATTAATATATAATATTTATATCTGAGGTTAAACATCAACACACCGGAGAACGAAGTTAAACTTGGCCGTTGAAGGCTAGGGTATATATATATATATCACATATCATATACCCTAGTTATAGATGAGAGAACCCACTTATGCGATTTCCTAAGCAGGGTTGTTAATCATTTACGATCTGTGGGATGATTCATCCTCCAAGCAGGGGCCAGGGGCCAAACAACCGGCTTCAGTATTTGTATTTAGGTATTTGTCAAATTGGGTCAGAGAGTTCAGACATTCAGGCTTATTTACCATGTTGTTAGTTAGCAAAACGGTGATTTAATGGTTGTTAAGTTGCTTACGGAGAGCTTTCCAGGGATCCACCAATATTTGGTTCCACAGAAGCGTTTTGTGCTTTCGGGAGAACCGACAAAACGCTTCTTCCGTTTTTCGCAATCACATGAAAGGGAAAAAACGCTTCTTTGGAAACCAGCTGCCTTCTTGCCACTTAAAGCTTGGTGTGAGGTGAAACCTTGTGGTGAAGTTTCCAAAACCTGGTGAAAACCTGGTGAAATTTCTAAAACCTGGTGAAAACTTGGTGAAATTTCCAAAACCTGGTGAAAATCTGGTGAAATTTCCAAAACCTTGTGTAAACCTGGTGAAATTTCAAAACCTGGTGAAATTTCCGAAACCTGGTGAAAACCTGGTAAAATTTCCAAAACCTGGTGAAATTTCGAAAGTTGGTCAAAACTTGCTGAAATTTCCGAAACCTGGTGAAAATCTGGTGAAATTTCTCAAACCTGGTGAAAACCCTGGTGAAATTTAGAAACTTGGTTAAAACCTGTTAAAAAAATCCAAAACTTGATCAATGTTTAGGTGAAGTTCGGGCATTTTTCTCGACGTCAGGGATTTTCTGAAACCTGGTGAAAACCTGGTGAAAACTTGGTGAAAACCTGATGAAATTCCGAAACCTCTGTGAACATGGCAATAATTTTGAAAGAAGCGTTTTGCTCTTTTGGGTCTTGGTGAAAAACGCTGGTTGTAATCTGGGCCAAAATGGTTTGGTCAAAACGCCTCTTTGTCCTCCGCACCCAACCGCGAAGCAACTCAACATTAATGGTGGTTTACCCCCGGTAATTTTTGGCGAATACCCATCAGAATAGTGTCTTTCTTCTTTGCTGGTTAGTGATGAAAATTGTGTGGACATGAATAATTCTAGCACGGAATTTCGTCCTGATGGATGATGGGTTGAACAAGAAGGACATGTTTTTTTCAACTATCAGATTGTAACTGTTTCTTTTTGATGTGGTAGTATTGCTCAAAGCTGGCAACCTTAACAAGTAAAGCTGAGCAATGCTCCTGTGAATCCAAACCAAAGTTCTGTGAAGTGTCGTTGTGGATGCATCCTTCCAAGAATGCAGATAATGGGTTTATCATGTTTTCAAGCGACCCGGGATCAGAGTTCTGAGGATTTTGGCCCTGAGCCATTTGGAATCGCTGGCGCATTCGCAGTGCCTGGGTTTGGATGAAGTCGAATTAAGTCTCCAAACTTGACGAAGGTTCCTGTGAATGGATAATGGTTCACAGATAGGTACTGTAATGGGCCATGTTTGGGCATGCCTGTCCAAGTTAATTAGAAAGGGGACGAACTCCATTGGGAAATCTGGAGCCCGAGAATACTGTGGTATGTGTGGTGAATGTCCACTTCAAAGTTGTGTTTGAGATGGTCGGTGTTATTTTGCGTGAGGAGGTCAGTTGTGAATTCTGCCAGCTACAGACCCGTTCTCATCCGGGTTCCAAACAGGTTCAGCTCTCAATTCAGATTCCCAATTCAACTCTGCCAGAGTGGCTGTCCCTCAACCTACTTGTCGACAACTAAGTTGGTTCATGTTCACCCATCAACTGGAGATATATCCACCACACAAACCCATCTCAGAACTTAATTTGTTTTCTAATTCTAAGCCAACATACCTTTTATTGGATGAGCATCTTAGCTGGCACATGCAGCAAAACCCATAGGTGACGGTGTTGTTCAGTCAATGACTGGGTGAGGTAGGCAGGGTTATTGACGCCTTTTTGGGATTCACAAGTGTGTAGGGTTTGTACGTCAAATCCCATGGGTCGGGGTTTCATTCCTAAGTTCCAAGCCTTTGAAGCCCAATGTTTTTTTGATGAAACCCATTCTGTTGACAGCGCAAATCCAATTATATGTTGAAAAAGTAATTTCCATCTTTGGTGAACTACCAAAAATTCGTTAGAAACCATCGTCTTTTTCTGGGGGCATCCACCTTTTGCCAGCCACTTCGCTTCCTCGGGGAGGTTTCTCTTTGGCGGCATCCGGGCGCTCTTGCGCTACATGGCACCTCGGACGGACTTGGGGGCCGCAGGGAGGGCATCGGAAACATGCTGAAATAGGCCAGAGGAAGTGTCCAGGATAGCAGATATTATCAGTTATATATCAGATACTAAGAATGGATGGTATAAAACTGGATGACATTGGATAAATTTGCTTCAAGTATTGTTTGCAATCATTTGTTTTGATAATGTTTATTTATTCGTTCACATTTTGGCATCTAAAAGCGACACCCATAGTTGCTGTATGATAGCCACGTCGCTGAGTTGACCATATTGCACTTCGAACAGACCCAAGTGTTGGCTGTGGTTCGCGAAGTCCAACTGTCATGAGGACAGCAAATAGCTCGGGGGTTGGCTAGTCGATTGGCTTCGGTTTGCCCCCTCCAAGCGAACAACGCTCCATGTTGGTGTTTGACACAGTCCTATAGGGTCGCCTTGGGAACTTTGCTATCAGGTGGAAGCTCATCATCCACAAGTGTCCCAGCATTTGCTTTCGATGCTTTGGAGTTTTTCCCCTGGTGAGAACACCCTATAAAGAGGGGGAACCTTAGAAACTTTAGAACATGCAAAAACCGCGAGGATATATATATAGTGGGATATAGTCGTTTACAACAATATGAAGATAGACATTGGATTTAGAATGATTTGCCGGACATTGAAACACAAGATAGCACAAGAGAGGAGCCAACCGCGCAAACCGATGCCGTGACGACACCATAATATGTTCACCAGTTACAGGTTTGGGCCAAGGAAGTAGGGATGGATAGGGTAATTGTGTCTGAAGTAGTTTTTCCAACAAAGCCCAGATACGTCAAAGATGGGTAGGGTTATTCAGTTGCAACCTGCAAAACTCTACAATCACCCTTTACAAAAGCACATGGACTTACAACATATCCAGCCCTTTTTCAGGTTATTAATCATATTAAATAGGGAATATGATTTGCCACTTCATCCCAACCATCGTCCCATCCCCTCCCTTGTGCCTCCACCCCCGTGGTGAGGCTTCCATCTGCCTCTTGGAATCGCCCCCGTGCCCCGACGCCCTCTGCGACCTGCTACTCTCACAGCTGCGCGGCGACGACGACGGATCCGACGGGTCCGCGGCGTCGGCGTGGGCGAGGCTGGCGGCGTTGGTGTATCACTACCAGCCGCCCAGGTGGGAACGGTCAGAAGGGGGGATGATGATGAGCAAACGGTGGGGAACATTGGGCGAACCTCCCCCAAAAAGTGATTATCCTAAAACTGTTTGGGGCTATTGGGGGGGGATTCGGCACCAACGACCGTTAATTTTGTGAATTTAATTGAAGTTTTATCAGTATTTCATTTGTCATCATATATATTGCCGGGTTCACCTTTGTTAGGTGTGGTTGATTCCCAGCCCAAGGCTCAAGGATATCCAATGATCGGGAGAACTGCCAAGCATTCATCTTGGTACAATCCCTCGGCTTCTTAAATGGTTCATATACCTGGCTTGCCGCTTTGTCAATCAAACTGAAAGATTTAGGGAATTGCACCCTGGCTCCCATCCCAATTTGCAAACTGGAAGGGCTCCTCCGAATCATATAGTCTTTGGTTTCAAAGCCACAGACATCACAAAACACAGCTGGTGTTTCAGTATTTTGTTCAATTTGTTCATGAGTTCGTCTATAGGATACATATGGATATGATCCAGTTTCCGGCCACCAATGTCAAAGAATCATCATCTTCGAATGTGTGTTTGATGGTTCAGCGGTGGTTAGGCTGGTGGATTCCTCGGGATACCCCCGGATTTCAATACGCCAAGCAAAACCGGCATCAGTTTGCAACCCCATCTCCATAATCGCGATCCCCTGACATGGCCCAGCCAACCCCATAACTAAAGTTATCTGAACGTAACTTCACGATAGCTTGAAAAAATCAAATTGATTCAAATCTGTAATATAAACTCGGGGGCACCACCTTGTAACCATGGTTGAAACGTCCAAAAACATCCTTATCTTCCAGGACTTGGCAGCCTCCCGTGGAGTCCTTGTTGCGCCGCGGCGCCAAACGGCGCAGCACCAAGGCGGCGACGCTGGCGCCGCTGGCGGCCAAGGGTGGGGAGCTGGGGCAGCTGCTGCATGGCATGCCGGCGGTGGCTTGGAGATAAAGACGGGTGGATGGTTTGATCCCAGGGCTGCAGTTGAAGATCAGTTGAAGATCAGTTGATATCAGATGTAAAAGTATCTTTCTTTCTTAGGCTTGTGGTGTTGGATGATTGATGTCGGCTTGGTGACGGGCAGACTTCTTCAAAGAGTTTGATAGACCACTCAAGCTACTGAAGATTCAGCACCCCAATGTCCGTCCCAGACTACCAAAATGCTGGGCCGTTTCATGAGATGCAGGCTCTCATTTTAATAGCAACTCCTCAGTTTCTGGGCATGACCGTGATGACCCCTTAGTGAATCAATCGGTGCCATACAAGAGTCTGGTTGACATTTCTAGATCAACAGCAGCAGTGAAGGGTATAAACCAGTGGATTTAATTTATGTGGATTTCGCCTCTGGGATTTGCTGAGGTGCAACCCTACACTAAGACCTGCACCTCGGTGGCATTGGACAATGAAGGGGAAAGAACATAGACAGAAACCTTGACGACAGTGGGTGTGAAGATGACTAGGGTTGATGGTTGATGTTTGGTGCCGGCCTTGATGATGTCACTCTTCGTCGTGATATCCTGACCCAGGTAAGAACTTGGCCATCGGAAAGCTGAATCTCACAAAGTTGAGCCTTGGCCAGCTTCAAACTGAACAAGTCAAACGCGTCGGCACAATCATTAATAATCTGAACATTGTTTGGTTTCATCTTATATGCTCAGATGTCTTCAGCTCAAATCTGCACACCGCTACGTGCATCTACGCACATTCTCAGATCAATCAATATTGCAAGATCACTGATTCTGAATCCTTGATGTTTGTGACCAAGATGCACCGGATAGATCTGCACCCAAACACCTAATTTCGCCCAGCATTTGGAAGTTTGGTGCCCAAAAGATCACCCTGAAGAAATGACAGCTCCCCATAAGAACCCCTTCCCACAGATTTGCAAAAAATCTAGATATGTCCGTCACGTATCCATATACATCCTGTTCTTAGCATACTTGTTTTGACCAACTTACCAACTCTGCTGGGGCCCTTCCTGTCCACTTAACTAATTCCTGGTTGTTCGGTGGTATAGTTAGATCATGTTATATCATCAATATAACAGATAATCCCAAACAAACATCACTATTATACGATGTTATGCCACTATGATCGTAGTTATATCCCGATTTGGGTGTGGGTTAGATTTTAACACCCAAGGACCGCAGATCCAAGTTTTATATTAACCATACAGCTATTGGGGCTACTAAATCAAAAACCAGACCGACCCTCTGGGAATAATCTTATAACTCTTGAACAATAGCCCATTGATAGATGAATTGCCTATCAAGAATGTCCCATCATTTATGTATAGATGAATTACCTTTAAATTATGGCCAGTCATCTATGTAGAAGCATGGAGGATTTTCGCTTCAGATACCAGGGGGAACTTCTGCACCAGGATCTGTCAGCTGCTAGAACGTTTGGTCTTCCCCCCGCAGCAAACCTCGCTGCTGCTGCACCTGGCCCTGCCGGCCGCGGCCGCGCTGGACGCGGACGCAGCGCAGCCGCCGTGCTTCGTGCAGAATCTGCGGGTGCTGGAGGCGGAGGTGTGGAAGGAGGGCGATGGCATGGTGGAGCCTGGGCTTGTGGAGGCCTTGGGGGGGTGAGTTGGGCCAAGAAGATAGGCACAAAGATTTTGAAGACATGATCAACTTTAGTAAAGACATGGGTTTTCCCTACCCTTTTTCTGACTCTTTAGGTGGGTTGTTAGCACCTTTTTGGTCCACCAGACTCCAACAATGATGATGGAAAGTGGGATGTTCCCACGGAATATGGCATGAACAACAAAGGGCTTTGGATTGATAATGACTTATCTATAACAAACGCATATTTAATATATATATATATAATTATATCGAAGTTTTCCAGGTTTTTGCCAGTGTTTAGGGATCCAGCTTGGGAGCTTGGATTATCTTGGATTTATAGCTGGGAGGGAGTCGTTCTTGAACCCAACCATTTGGGCCCAAGGACATCCTTGTGCTCGATGCAAAGAAATCGTTTCTCGGGATGCAAGTCGGAGTGTGGGATGTCATCAAATTACCCTCTAGTTATTGAACATAGCCATGGGAAATGGCCCATTTATAGATGATTTTCCCGTTAAAACCTCAATTTGTGAGGGATTTTCCATGGCTTATATAAACAACCGGATGGTAAAACAAATCCCATCTTCAAACCTACTGTAATCTTGAAGGTTCGCAGTTGCAGAGGCGGGTATGGATATGGATGATGATTAATGGCTATTTTGTTGCACTTTTTTGTTTCTTCTGTAGGTCGTTCCTTTGGGAGAGGAACATTTGCAGAACCACATCGTCTCCAGGAACTCATACTCATTTCTATGTCAAAAACCAGCGTTTGTTTTAGTCGATTGCGCGAGCAAATTCACAAATTACGCTATTTCATTGTTTAGACTAACAAACAGTCAGATCTAACACGTAGTTTCAACTAGACTTTGAAACCCCAATCCTACTCAGAGCAAACCAGAGAGTGCCTTGAACTTCCCGAGGTACTACGTGATGTTTGTCGAAGGTTTGGACACCAGCTGAACATTCAGAAAATGATGCGTGATGCAGTGGGGTGCTGGTTCACACTCCAACAAGATCCAGCAGTGGCAAATACATTGTTTTGCAGCAATATGTTCCTGTTTTTTTGGGGGGGTTACCCTTGGGGGGGTACCGTAGATTTTCGTGAAGTACGTAAACGCAGTAAGAAAGTATGTTTTGACATTTCAATTTTTGAAATCTCTGTGCGATCATCATAAGTGCTTTGCATCAGAAGCCAGCCTGTCCAACGCATGAAGGGTTTCAACACCTAGAGGACCTAGAGGTTTAAGATCTTGGTCAATGACAGCAATGAGTTTGACCACCGGTGATTTATACATGTTCCAGCAATTTTATGCCTGTCCCCGAGGTGCGGATTCTACCTGGCGTCGGGGAGCGCAGGATGGTATCAGGGGCTAGACGAGTTTTCTCAGATTTTCTCTTTCCATGCCCTGTGTTTTACAACCGGCAGCTCAAAAATGCAGAGCCAGTTCCTGAATTCCAAAATTCGTTTTAACCCATGTTCAATGCCACGGGCTCTCAAACATGGGCGCCCGGGATTTTGCAGTGGCAGGGTTCTGTAGGCCCCACCCTTCGGTAATCAAACATGGAACATGACACTGGAACATTCATAATATGATGATATGTTGAGCCAGAGAATTGGCGCTAAAAAAAGTGACATAGCAGTGACATACAGAGATGAAATCGATAGACACGTAGATCAATAGATATTGGCGGTCTGTTCCATTGCCCGATTAGTTTGCCGATGATTCCCCGGCACCTGGCCACCTCCTCTATAGGTCTACTATGAAGCCTTGGACATCTCCAGTCCGGCGGGGGGGGCACAGGGGGTCCTCGCAGCTCAGTAAATATCTCCGAAAGGATTGGCTTGCAGGGGATCTGTATTGATATTGTTGAGATTTCTTGAGAATGTTTAGTGTGGTTCTTATCTTATATTAAGCTTTGCCTGAAGTGCTCAGAGGAACGCTGCCCATATGGCCCTGAGATGCCAAAACCATGGCTGGAACCGCCCCAGGTGGTGCTAGTGGGCGCCGGGAAGGAGCTGCCAACCATTTGGGGCAACAGGTGCGGAGTGGATCCTGGGGTCCTAGATGATGCTTGGAGGGGTAAGAACCCTCCGGTACTTTAACGCCTTGCGACCTGGAAAACCACCATGCAGCTGACAGCTCCATCAGCATAAATGATCTATGATGCCATTTTCCATAGCTATGTTAAATAATCTGAAATTTCTCTTCAAAATTTCCACGAGTTAGTTGTTTTTTTTTCAGGTTGCTCAATGATTTTGATTTGAGCCAGTTGAAGTGATGGGACTGGCTTGGTCGTTCCAGAACTATGTTGCATACATGGTGCTTCGATGTGTCCCTGGCCGTAGGCCTTTCAGAAGTTTCAGATTTGCAGTAATTACCCCATTGTCATTTTGGTAAACCAGGGCGTTTATGTTGTTTGTGGTAATTATCCCCTCGGGTGTTTGGCTATTCCAGTAATTTTGTTTGGAAGGTCATGTTTTCAGCGTCGAAACCAGTAGGTCAGTAGCCAGATTTCCAGTGGCGCTTCTGAGAATTTGATACTGTTGGACAGGAATCAAAGGCCCCACGTCAAGACCATTGACCAAACCGATGTGAAGTGTTACTGTAAGTTGCAGCCAGCCACAACCAACTAATCACCACTGATGATGGTGTATGTCACAATGTTTGTGCTGGCACTTTGGCTCAAAGGGCACGAAGCACATGCGAACCATTCAGCTGGCATTTCAACAGCCATGACATCTGCATACCATCCCAACATAATTGCATTGCTGTTGGGTGGGGGCCTTGGAAGTTGCGTGCCTGACCTCCCACATGACGTCCTTGACAGGCAGACCACCTTTGCCAAACATTGGACCGCATCAAACTACCAGGTAAAAACCCTGCTGTGGGTAACCGTAACTTTGTTCACACTTGATTTATAGGCCTATCGTTGTCGAAGCAAATCATATAGATGGATGCCAAGGAAAAACAAAAAGAATTATATAATGGATTTCTACAAATTTCTACCCCCCAAAAATGGGGGTGTGACACTAAGCTGCCCAAGTCACGTAGATCACCACCCATGGCGTCGACGTCGAAGACGGGGAAGTCTTGGACTTTTGAGGAAGCTTGTGCCCTTGGTTGAGATACCAATATCTGGGTGAACCTTGCTTACTGGTTGGGTAGTTTTATGTTGTTAACTCGTTTAATTCACACATGGTGGAATGTGATGCCCAGTGGTTTGTGTATCATGGACCCAGCTAGATGATTTGATGATGTTTTAGGCGGGTTCAGTATATACTCTAAGATTGGTTATGTTTCCTGGAATCCAATTTTTGGAGGTGCTTCTTTCACTGGCAAGTGTTTTTTGGGTGGTGATTTTCCATGTTTGTTGCTGAAATTGCACTAGATTCGATTTCAATTGTCATGACAGGTTCCATTACAATTCCCATGTTTCCTGCCATTTGTGAGGTTGAGGTTATTAGTTAATGCCTCACTTTTTGGCTGGTTTCAAGCATTTGTGACTTCCCCACTTCGGAGGGGTGATGCGTTGTGATGGGTGATGATATCCAACGAATGAGCCAAAAAGGGTTTGCATGAAAATAGCACGCCCCCCAGATTCACTGGCTTGTGGTTGTCGATGCGCATGAATATTCACACACACAGATAAATAATTATATAGATATATAATAACTACACATATATTCATCATTACATTAGGCTCATTTTGGTTCCTTAGCCCACTATAATCCACTTTTGGACAAACCGTTCATCCTCGAGACGGCATCATAGGTACTGCAGCCGGCCTGGAAGTGTCACAGGGCAGCGCCAATGGGTGGATCTCTTTTCACTTAGATGGGACATGGAAAATAAGATTATAATTATGTCCCATCTAAGTGGAGATTATAAAATTGGGATTCTTTAATGGGGATTATATAATCTTGTTGGGAATCTTTCATGGTTCGTAAATGGATTGTAATTGGGGTGTAGTACCACAAGTTAACTAAGGGATTGTAAAACTGGTTAGTAAATGGGTCTTTCCTATTATCATTGGAATAATTGATTAGATCTGGTTAGTACATGGATTTTAGCCGCTTAACTTATAGGTATAATCCATTTACTATCTAATGGATTCCACTTGGGAAAGTTGGAGTACAGTTATGGCTCTTTGCCAGTTATAAGTATTTATTATTTATGGAATATATATCTATATATATATATAATCTTATGGCCATAACCAGCTATAACTAATAAATGGCCACAACTGTAGTCTACTAACTAATGGGTTATAACCCACCATTGGTTGACTGACTAATGGACTCCAACTTATAGGTATGATCCATTTGTTAAATATATATACTGTTTGGTGTTTTGGAACATTTTTTATTTTTCCATATGTTGGGAACAGTAACCCCAGCTGACGAGCATATTTTTCAGAGGGGTAGGTATACCACCAACCAGATTGGGATGTTAGTAAATTGATGATTCCTATTATAAAACCAGATTACCCTCTGGTAAACTAACATTATGGAAAATCACCATTTCCAATGGGTAAATCCACTATAAATGGCCATTTTCAATAGCTATGTAACAAATTACCAGAGGGTAACTATTGTCACTTTCTAAACCGCTCCCAGGTCTGTGACCCGTTGGTGGCACCGCCGCGCGCGGCGGATGCCGGATCCGCTGGAGGCGTGGCTGCGGAAGGTGCTGCTGCGGGGCGTGGGGCCTGGCGACTTGGAACGAAACAGTGAGACTTTGAGCAGTGAACATGGTGATTTCACCAAGGAAAAGTGAGATATCACCTGATTCAACCAACAAAAACAGACAAAAACTTGGATTTAACGCTGATTTAACCAACGAAAACTGGGATTTCACATGATTTAACCAACAAAAACTGTGATTTCACCAAGAAAAAGTGAGATTGAACATGATCAGGCAAACCAAAACTGGGATTCAGATGGTTTTTAAGATGATTGACATGCAATGAATTTGATGTTTCTGAAGTTTGCGCCGTAGACGCCATGATCCCATCCAAGGATGTTCACAGCTCATGCGCTGGGGCGTGCCGCAGCACGTCCTGCACCATGGCGGTGAAGGGTAGGTCCTGGTAGGTGAATGGTTTCATGTTCAGGTCTCCAAGCGTCATTGTCTCCAGTGATTTAAGCCATATAAGATGGGTAAACTCGGTGGATGGGATGGAAACAAGGTGGGCCAGAGAACCCAAAAGCAAGACGGCACACAGCACGATTTTTTTGAAAATCTTGTGGTGTGTGCTCTGCACGAAATCGACGTAAGATCTTTACTGAAACATCGTGCGCGCTGATGGTATCAGGGGCCACAATTCACCACAGCATGCTGTGTCAGCTACCTACATTCTTCTAGTCGCTATTTCTGCTAATGTAATTAACTCTATCCCATCTTTCTAGTCGCTATAATTCCTGCGTTCTCGTTTAGTTTGCTTCGCCGCAGAGGGAGCGAGGACGAAGCGTCGACGGACAGAACACCGTGCAAAATGAAAACTAAACGACGGAGGGAGCTGACCAAAAGAGCATGAAAACGAAGATATGAAGGTGATAGGTGGTGAATGATAGGGAAAAATGAGACATGATGAAAGATGGGTAAAGACTTCTCTGTACAAAAGATTCTTTGCATAAATGCTTCTGTATGTAAAAGCTCCTGTGGGTAGAAACTTCTTTGTGTAAAGGTTTTCGGTGTAAAAGTTTCTGTGTGTAAAAGCTTCTGTGTAAAACGTCCTCTGTGTGTAAAAGTTTCTGTTTGTGAAAGTTCCTTTGCGTACCAGCTTCTGTCTGTAAAAGCTCCTCTGTGTTAAGGTTTTGTTTGTGTAAAACTTCTGTGTGCAAAAGCTTCTCTGTGTAAAAGACTTCTCTGTGTCAAAGCCTCTGAGTGTACAAGCTTCTCTGTGTAAAAGTTCCTCTGGGTAAAAGCTCCTCTGTGAAAAAGCTGCTTTGTGTAAAAGGCTTCTCTGTG